ATGTTGAATGATGTTAAAGGAAAACTGTTGTGAGTTAAGCATGACACAGTCTAGGTAAAGTATTCAATGAATATATTTAGATACAAGAAGATGTGGTATGAGTGTCAATGAGACAACTCTCCATCCAAGTCACAATGTGTAAAAAGTAAACAATTATAAGAACCAGTGTACTCTAATATGCAATCAAAGGTATGTTGAATTTTTCAGCAGAAGACAGGATAAGGTATAGTTTTACTATGAGACCACTGCCACTTTATTTAAACTTAAGACAAAATAGCTGTAAATGCTTGAAATTGCATAAACTAACATAGAAAGCAATGGGGCTATTAATTAGTGGTTTTATTCCTAAAGAGAAGTGGAATGATTGCCAATGAGACAACTATCCAACAGAGTCCAAATAACATGGATTTAAGCAAATACTGTATTCCAGGAATTTTTCCTGGTAGTTTTATTTTTGCCTTTGATACATCCATAATTATTTTTACAAATATCTAACTGGAAAAGCTGTATTTTACAACTATACATGTATTAAGCAAGTTGACACTGATACTATTTTTTATAAAAACAACACATGTTTCAGTAAGGTGAAACACACCTGTAAATCATTTAAATAAGGATTAGTACATTTGTTACTGTCTCACATATCAAAGGATTTATTGATTTACTATTATCACTGCAGCTTCAACAGTGTTCCAAATAAGGTCATTCTTTGTTTATGTGTTTTCACTAGCAAGCAGGTTTAATAATACAATGATCTCATGTCAATTTCAAATTTAACTAGTTTTTTCTTTCTTTTGCCACATTGTCTGCATACCAGTCCTTAAACTGCCAGCTAATAACATTAAAAATCTGACAGACAGACACACAAATTTCCCAGTTTATAATACACGGCCTTCAAAAAAGAGCAAAACCCATACCATATAGTCAGCTATTGAAGACCCCAACATTATAAAATGTGAAAAAAAAAGTGTAAATTTGGTTGGCTTTTTCTGGAGTGTGATACGAAATTGTTACTAGCAAAGGTCATGCCCCACTGGAAACCAAGATATGTGATATAGCTATATCCCATAAAAGAAGTCAATGTGCAGTATTACCAGGGCCCAAAATTAATAAATTGCTTCGCCGAGCATAGCTGGATACGACCGTAGAGGTCCAACCCTGAACAATTGGGGCAAAAATGGACGCAATATTCGTGATTGATACAAGTCTGAATTTGGATTGTAATTAAATATTTGACACATAAAAGGTTTCTGACACAGAATAACTGTAGTCAAAGAACTTAGAATTGGTTATATGATTTGAATCTATATTCAATTTTTTGCTTTTGTGCAATACACTTTGCTGTTGCGAATTGACCCCCCTCCCCCACAAAAAAAAATAAAAAATTTACCCCCTTTTTTTTTTGCTTTTGAGCAATACACTATACTGTTGCTTATTAACTCCCCCTCCCCCCCCTTTTCCCCCCAAAAAATTCTTTCCCTGAAGATATGGTCATAATCTCAATTCAAATTTCCAATGGAGTTTGCAACCATATTTACCCATTTAAATTTGTGCTAACTTAATCTATTTTATAATAGAATTTAAAATATGGTGTCAAGTCTTTCATATGGATTTTTTTGTAAAAAAAAAAAGATGCAACATTTGCAGATATTTTTACTGGTCTTCCTTTATAAATATGCATTTCTTTAAACATAATTCAAAAGCAGTGTAAGGGAGGTAAACAAAACGTTGTATTTGGATTACCTCCCTCACACTGCTCTTAAATTGTCTTAATTGTTCATTAACCATTACTTTATACATAATTTAAAAGCAGTATAAGGGAGGTAATTCAAATGATGTATTTGAATTACCTCCCTTACACTGCTTTAAATTATGTTTTGTACTAAAGTATTTGTCCATTAACCAGGACACCCTTGTTTTTCCCCCTTTTTTGCCCCTAATTCCTAAACAGTTTGAGCCATAACCCCCCAAAGCAAATCCTAACCATCCCTTTGTGGTATGGAAACTTGTGGTATAATTTCAGAGAGATCCATAGACGGTTCCACAAGTTATTGTCTGGAAACTAGAAAAATGCTTATTTTTGGCCCCTAATTCCTTAACCGTAAAATTTCATAGAGATCCATTCACTCAAACTAAAGTTATTGTGCGAAAAGCAATGTTTTTTTCGGACGACGACGACGCCAACGTCATACCAATATATGACCGCAAAAATTTTTTGCGGTCGTATAAAAATCTGAATGCACAGTTAGATTCAGCAATATCATAGAACCACAAGAATTCAGTTTTTGATGAAATCCAACAAAGTCTAATTTTGGACCCTTTGGACCTCAATGTAGACCTATTTAAAAATGTCCAAATATCCAATATAGTAATACATGGTAAAAACCTCAAACAATTCAAGACTTTAAATTAATCCTCATTGAAATTGGTTAAAAGATTTGTATTAATTTTCAATTGAAGATTTCTTGCTGTTGTGCAATACTTAGTAAATCTGTTTACAAACTAAATATAATAATTTACACACCCTGTTTGGTGTGTACCTCCTGCCATATCAGTATTTGTTGTTTCATTATAAAGATCAGAAATAATTTATGTTAGAACCTGCTTAGCCAGTATTAGAAAAGTCTTTGGCCCCTATTTGGCCTCTAGTTTCTTAACGGTTAAAGCCACAACCCACAAAATCAACCCCAACCTTCTGTGTGTGGAATGGAACCTTGTGGTACAATTTCATAGAGATCCATGGACTATTACTTAAGTATTTGTCCAGAAACCAGAAAAATCTTGTTCCCCCCCCCCCCCCCCCCCCCCACTCCCCCTTTTTGGCCCCTTATTCTTGAACAGTTTGAGCCATAACCCCCCAAGTCAAACCCAACCTTCCTTTTTGTGGTATGGAACCTTGTGTTTCAATTTCATAGAGATCCACAGACTAATACTTAAGTAATTGTCCATTAACCAGAAAAACCTTGTTTTCCCCTCCTTTTTTCCCCTAATTCCTGAACAGTTTGGGCCATAACCCTCAAAGTCACACCCAACCTTCCCTTTGTTGTATGGAACCTTGTGGTACAATTTCATAGAGATCCATACACTTGTACACAAGTTATTGTCCGGAAACTAGAAAAATGCCTTTTTTGGCCCCTTTTTGACCCTTAATTCCTAAACAGTCGGGACCATAACCCCCAAAATCAATCCCAACCTTCCTTATGAGGCATGGAACCTTGGGGTACAATTTCATAGAGATCCATTCACTTATACTAAAGTTATTGTCAGGAAACCAAATGTCTTCGGTCGACGACAACGACAACGACAACAACATGATAGCAATATACAAACGCAAATTTTTTGCGCTTGTATAAAAACTGACCGCCATGAAATAGCAAAATAGTGCTGAAAGTGGCTTTTAATATCAATCAATCAATCAATCAATATAAGTTGTTAATGTCAACTGTTCTTCACTTTTGATAACTGAGTTGAATTAATTCAGTCACCCTTAAGGTCATTACATTTTCTGACCTATTCAGACATTTTTCTGATCTTGTTATTAAACCTTTTTTCACTCTATAAACTCCTGTAAGGCATTCAAGATAACTATTGAGACTAAGGCTTTATAACTTTGGACCAAAACTACAATTTGCCCTTGTAAGCGATTTCTATCATTAAACTGACAACACATGGAAAATGAGGTCAAGGACAATGGACATATGACAGACTGAAACTTCGTAACATGAGGTATCTGCATACAAGGTATGAATCATCCAGGTCTTCTAGCCTTAAAAATATAAAGCTTTATACAAATAGTTTATGCCATCGCCGCCAGATTGTGGACCTACTTGAAAACTGGGCCCAAAATCCAAAATCTGAATACATGCTTAGATTCAGCATATCAAAGTACCCCTTGAATTCATTTATTTTTTTAAATCAAACTAAGTTTCATTTTGGACCCTTTGGACCTTTAAAAATGTGGACCAATTGAAAACTGGGCCCAAAATCAAAAATCTAAATACATGGTTAGATTCAGCATATGAAAGAACCCCAATAATTCAATAATAGATGAAATCGAACAGTTTAATTTTGAACCATTTGGACCTCATTGTGGACCAATTTAAAAACGGGGCCTAAAATCCAAAATCTAAATACATGGTTAGATTCAGCATATCAAAGAACCCCAATAATTCAATAATAGATGAAATCGAACAGTTTAATTTTGGACCATTTGGACCTCATTGTGGACCAATTTAAAAACGGGGCCTAAAATCCAAAATCTAAATACACGGTTAGATTCACCATATTAAAGATCCCCAAGAATACAAGACTTTGAACTAAACCGCATTGAAATTGGTCAAGAAATAAGCAATTTATACAAAGCATTAGAAAAGTATTGTTATTGGCCCCTTTTTCCTAGGGCCATAACATCCAATATCAATCAGAACCTTCCTTTTGAGGTATGGAATGTTGGGGTACAATTTCATAGAGATCCATAGACTTATACTCAAGTTATTGTCCGAAAACCAGAAAATCCTAGATTTTTGGCCCCTAAATCCTAGACAGTTTGGGCCATAACCAATCCCAACCTTCCTTTCGAGGTATGGAACCTTGTGGTACAATTTCATAGAGATCCATACACTTATACATAAGTTATTGTCAGGAAACAAAAATGTCTTCGTACGATGATGATGACGACAATGACAACGTCAAACCATTTAAGGACAGCCAAAAAAAAAAAAAAAATAAAATAGTACACGAGTCATGTTTTGAATAGACGAGGGAGTGACTGGGAAGACAATTATATTCTAATTTTTGCCTTATATAGCCCATTATTGACCACAGCATATCAGTGACTTACCTCTCCTGTTGCTAAGTCAACCAAAACATTGTCAAGATGTCTGTCTCCAAGACCTATGATATAACCAATCATTGACATTACAGCTGTAGACCTGGCATATGACTGAGTGATCTGCCACCATTCACTGGCCCCTGTACTACAACACCAAAGTTCCCTAAAAAAACAATAACAACTGTAGACCTGGCTTAGGACTGAGTGATCTGCCACCCTTCACTGGCCCCTTAACTATAGCAACAAAGTTCCCTAAAAAATTAACCTAAGTTTTTCTACTTTAAAAATTATAATATGAAACCTTATATTTGTGGTTTAAACTACCACAAAGTTAGCTACTGAGGATTCAATCTTACCCTTTATACCCTCACCAACACTGAGGATTCAATCTTACCCTTTATACCCTCACCAACACTGAGGATTCAATCTTACCCTTCATACCCTCACCAACACTGAGGATTCAATCTTACACCTTCATACCTTCACCAACACTGAGGATTCAATCTTGCACCTTCATACCCTCACCAACACTGAGGATTCAATCTTACACCTTCATACCCTCACCAACACTGAGGATTCAATCTTGCACCTTCATACCCTCACCAACACTGAGGATTCAATCTTACCCCTTCATACCCTCACCAACACTGAGGATTCAATCTTGCACCTTCATACCCTCAACAACACTGAGGATTCAATCTTGCACCTTCATACCCTCATCAACACTGAAGATTCAATCTTGCACCTTCATACCCTCAACAACACTGAGGATTGAATCTTACACCTTCATACCCTCACCAACACTGAGGACTCAATCTTACCCTTTATACCCTCACCAACACTGAGGATTCAATCTTACACCTTCATACCCTCACCAACACTGAGGATTCAATCTTACACCTTCATACCCTCAACAACACTGATTATTCAATCTTGCACCTTCATACCCTCAACAACACTGAGGACTCAATCTTACACCTTCACTGAAGATTCAATCTTGCACCTTCATACCCTCACCAACACTGAAGATTCAATCTTGCACCTTCATACCCTCAACAACACTGATTATTCAATCTTGCACCTTCATACCCTCAACAACACTGAGGATTAAATCTTACACCTTCATACCCTCACCAACACTGAAGATTCAATCTTACACCTTCATACCCTCAACAACACTGAAGATTCAATCTTACACCTTCATACCCTCAACAACACTGAAGATTCAATCTTACACCTTCATACCCTCACCAACACTGAGGATTCAATTTTACACCTTCATACCCTCACCAACACTGAGGATTCAATCTTGCACCTTCATACCCTCACCTTCACTGAAGATTCAATCTTGCACCTTCATACCCTCAACAACACTGATTATTCAATCTTGCACCTTCATACCCTCACCAACACTGATTATTCAATCTTGCACCTTCATACCCTCACCTTCACTGAAGATTCAATCTTGCACCTTCATACCCTCAACAACACTGATTATTCAATCTTGCACCTTCATACCCTCACCAACACTGAAAATTCAATCTTGCACCTTCATACCCTCAACAACACTGAAGATTCAATCTTGCACCTTCATACCCTCAACAACACTGAAGATTCAATCTTGCACCTTCATACCCTCACCAACACTGAAGATTCAATCTTGCACCTTCATACCCTCAACAACACTGATTATTCAATCTTGCACCTTCATACCCTCAACAACACTGAGGATTAAATCTTACACCTTCATACCCTCACCAACACTGAAGATTCAATCTTGCACCTTCATACCCTCAACAACACTGAGGATTCAATCTTACACCTTCACTGAAGATTCAATCTTGCACCTTCATACCCTCACCAACACTGAAGATTCAATCTTGCACCTTCATACCCTCATCAACACTGAAGATTCAATCTTACACCTTCATACCCTCACCTTCACTGAAAATTCAATCTTGCACTTTCATACCCTCAACAACACTGAAGATTCAATCTTGCACCTTCATACCCTCAACAACACTGAGGACTCAATCTTGCACCTTCATACCCTCAACAACACTGATTATTCAATCTTGCACCTTCATACCCTCACCAACACTGAAAATTCAATCTTGCACCTTCATACCCTCACCTTCACTGAGGACTCAATCTTGCACCTTCATACCCTCAACAACACTGAGGATTCAATTTTACACCTTCACTGAAGATTCAATCTTGCACCTTCATACCCTCACCAACACTGAAGATTCAATCTTGCACCTTCATACCCTCAACAACACTGAGGATTCAATCTTACACCTTCATACCCTCAACAACACAAACCATTTTCCTTTCATTTCAAAGTATATAGAAACAGGATTTTTAAGGAACTGTCCTCAGTTTGTTCTATTTTATAATATAAACATTGGCAGACAAATTTGATGAGACGTAATCAATCAATTTCCCATAACAGGAATTAAATGTATATCAGATCCAATAAATGTGGATAGTGTCCACATGTGGACACAGATGATGCCCCCGCTTGCATATCATATAGTTATAAAGGGACATAACTGAAGAACGGTAAAAGTGACGCTAACCAAATTTGAACTTGATCTGAGTTTAGTGGTAATTAGCATTGTGTGTAAGTCTCATAACATTTGGATGACACTAACTTAAGTAGAGAACAGAAACTAAAAATTCAGCAATTTTTCTATTTGTAAACACGCATAACTCTAGAACGGTTGTGTATAAGTTTTATAACATTTGGTTGAGGCAAACTAAAAAATTCAGTAATTTTTATGTTTATAAAGGGACATAACTCAAGAATGGTAAAAGTGTCACCACCAAATTTCGTACTTAATCTGTATTATGTAGTAATAAGCATTGTGTATAAGTTTCATAAAATTTGGTTGAGGCAAACTAAAGTTAGAAAACGGAAACAAAAAATTTGTACTTGATCTTAGTTTTGTGGTAATGAATATTGTGTATAGGTTTCATAATGTTTGGTTGGGGCAAACTTAAGTTACAGAATGGAAACTAAAAATTTTGCAATCTTTCGATTTTTAAAGATGCATAACTCAATAATGGTTAAAGTGACACTACCCAAATTCAACTTGATCTGTGTTTTATCAGTGGAAGTCAAAATTAAACATTGCATTATATAAAGCATTGATTGTAGTTGATTCAACTATAATCATGGACAAAGGAAGATAACTCCAATTTTAAAAATTAGTTGATATTTAGAAGAAAATAAAAATTTTGCAATTTTTCCATTTATAAAGGGGCATAACTCTAGAACGGTTAAAGTGACGCCACAAAAATTCAAACTTGATCTGTGTTTTGTGGTAATAAGCATTGTGTATAAGTTTCATACCATTTGGTTGAGGCAAACTGAAGTTAGAGAACAGAAACTAAAAATTTTGCAATTTTTCCATTTATAAAGGGGCATAACTCTAGAACGGTTAAAGTGATGCCACCAAAATTCAAACTTGATGTGTGTTTTGAGGTAATAAGCATTGTGTATAAGTTTCATAACATTTGGTTGAGGCAAACTCGAGTTGGAGAACGAAATTTTGGGACGTACGGACGGACGTACGTATGTACAGACGGACAAGGGTAAAACTTAATGCCCCCACCGCTACAGCGGGGGCATAAAAAATTTGCTCTACTTAATAATGTATAAAAGTATTATTGATTATTACTACAGTTCATGTAAATGTGAACAATAAATCAAGCTAAGATTAAGGCTGAGTTCAAACTGCCCATGTAATACAGATTATTAATTTTAAATAAATGTTCGAAAATTCAATTCTAGTTCTGCCTTAGTATTAAGTTTCTAGTGTAAACAATGTAAGGTAAAAGTCACATTTCAAATGTAATAGGCAAAAGCTTCTTATTTAAAAGTGGACAGAAACTGAGTATGCTCATATCTGGAATTAAGAATACTCAAGTCACAATATCACAATCTGCAGTTTTATCTATAAAATAAAATAATGTAAGACACCAAATAAGGTATGTAGACAAAGAGACAGTATTCCCTAAAGGTTAATTTTATCAGTTCCCCTTCAGTTTGTTTGTATTTACCTGGCAAGTAAATCTGATGGCGTTTCTTCTATAAGTTCCTGTAAAACTGACCGCAGTGTGGACAAAGGCCATTCCTTTCTGCTTTCTAGATTTGTAATACCCTGAAAGTAGAAATGTTACATGTCAGTGAATAGAAACAAGAGAGATCAATCCTTCCTCATTCTATAATCATATTTCAAATATCAGCCCAACAACTGAAACATGGGATGACAATAAACACTCCTTCCTCATTCTATAATCACATTTCAAATATCAGCCCAACAACTGAAACATGGGATGACAATAAACACTCCTTCCTCATTCTATAATCACATTTTAAATACCAGTCCAACAACTAAAACATGGGATGACAATAAACACTCCTTCCTCATTCTATAATCACATTTCAAATACCAGTCCAACAACTGAAACATGGGATGACAATAAACACTCCTTCCTCATTCTATAATCATATTTCAAATACCAGTCCAACAACTGAAACATGGGATGACAATAAACAGTCCTTCCTCATTCTATAATCATATTTCAAATATCAGCCCAACAACTGAAACATGGGATGACAATAAACACTCCTTCCTCATTCTATAATCACATTTCAAATACCAGTCCAACAACTAAAACATGGGATGACAATAAACACTCCTTCCTCATTCTATAATCACATTTCAAATACCAGTCCAACAACTAAAACATGGGATGACAATAAACACTCCTTCCTCATTCTATAATCATATTTCAAATACCAGTCCAACAACTGAAACATGGGATGACAATAAACACTCCTTCCTCATTCTATAATCACATTTCAAATACCAGTCCAACAACTAAAACATGGGATGACAATAAACACTCCTTCCTCATTCTATAATCACATTTCAAATACCAGTCCAACAACTAAAACATGGGATGACAATAGACACTCCTTCCTCATTTCATTCTATAATCACATTTCAAATATCAGTCCAACAACTAAAACATGGGATGACAATAAACACTCCTTCCTCATTCTATAATCACATTTCAAATACCAGTCCAACAACTAAAACATGGGATGACAATTAACTCTCCTTCCTCATTCTATAATCACATTTCAAATATCAGCCCAACAACTGTAACATGGAATGACAATAAACAAGAAGCTGTCATCTTCACTAAATATTTTTTTCAATTCAACAGTGGATTTATTTAATTTCATGGAGTGTATGTGTGGATACTTGATTTAATGGTTTCGACCAATCAGAGCTGGAGTTTGTTGTAGAAGATCTCACTTGGACATAGAATGCTTGGTGTAGTGGTACTGTTAGTTAGAGAGGGAGAGGGACTATAATTACCTTATCTCTAAGAGCTGGAGTAAGTTTGTTGTAGAAGATCTCACTTGGACGTAGAATGCTTGGTGTAGTGGTACTGTTAGTTAGAGAGGGAGAGGGACTATAATTACCTTATCTCTAAGAGCTGGAGTAAGTTTGTTGTAGAAGATCTCACTTGGACGTAGAATGCTTGGTGAAGTGGTACTGTTAGTTAGAGAGGGAGAGGGACTATAATTACCTTATCTCTAAGAGCTGGAGTAAGTTTGTTGTAGAAGATCTCACTTGGACGTAGAATGCTTGGTGTAGTGGTACTGTTAGTTAGAGAGGGAGAGGGACTATAATTACCTTATCTCTAAGAGCTGGAGTAAGTTTGTTGTAGAAGATCTCACTTGGACGTAGAATGCTTGGTGTAGTGGTACTGTTAGTTAGAGAGGGAGAGGGACTGTAATTACCTTATCTCTAAGAGCTGGAGTAAGTTTGTTGTAGAAGATCTCACTTGGACGTAGAATGCTTGGTGTAGTGGTACTGTTAGTTAGAGAGGGAGAGGGACTGTAATTACCTTATCTCTAAGAGCTGGAGTAAGTTTGTTGTAGAAGATCTCACTTGGACGTAGAATGCTTGGTGTAGTGGTACTGTTAGTTAGAGAGGGAGAGGGACTGTAATTACCTTATCTCTAAGAGCTGGAGTAAGTTTGTTGTAGAAGATCTCACTTGGACGTAGAATGCTTGGTGTAGTGGTACTGTTAGTTAGAGAGGGAGAGGGACTATAATTACCTTATCTCTAAGAGCTGGAGTAAGTTTTTTGAAGAAGATCTCACTTGGACGTAGAATGCTTGGTGTAGTGGTACTGTTAGTTAGAGAGGGAGAGGGAGTATAATTACCTTATCTCTAAGAGCTGGAGTCAGTTTGTTGTAGAAGATCTCACTTGGACGTAGAATGCTTGGTGTAGTGGTACTGTTAGTTAGAGAGGGAGAGGGAGTATAATTACCTTATCTCTAAGAGCTGGAGTAAGTTTGTTGTAGAAGATCTCACTTGGACGTAGAATGCTTGGTGTAGTGGTACTGTTAGTTGATCCAGTTGTCTGATTCTGAAAATAAATTTAACTTTACATTTACAATTAATTTATACAGCAATTCTTTCTCCACAGAATTCAACAGTTTCCACTGTATATGGTCTAAATTAGTGCAAGACTTAAAACTATGACAGAAGGTCTTTCTGACTAAGAGCATTAAAATATGGTGTAGGACTTTAAACACCTCAACGGACAGATGACAGAACTTTGAGCATTCTACTGTTTTGGATTCATCATTAGTACTAAGGTACCTATTTTTGTGGATTTCATGTGTGCTGAGAGCCCAATAATCTAAATGTTCAACAAAGTATAAATTTTCTATAAGCTTGTATGTTAACTTTGGCAAATCCATGACATAAAATAGTAATGAAAATACAATTTTTCCTCAATACACAAGAAGTGGTACTTAAATGAATCCACAGTAATATAAAGATACAAAAAATAAAAATCGATAGTTAAATTCCAGAAAGTATTTTTTTATTTCAAACCTTAAACAGATGATTCAGCAATTGAACCAAAATTAAATGAATCTGAACAGTTTTTTATGGTATCAGTTTTCCAAACAATTCAATAAAGCAAATATTCCCATATGGACACCATAAGTTTTTTGATATAACAAATAATCCAATATGCACACCATAAATTTTTAATATAAACACTGATCAAAGAATCAAATCTGGTACATTTTGCCTCAATTCCTACATTGGTTTAAGAGAAAGAAGTTTAAATTTATATAATGATGAATACAAAGTGATTGTAACCAATCCATTGACCTTTGGTCAAGTACAGTAGACTCCGGCAAATGGGATACCCAAAATGTCAGCAAAAAATATCCCATTATCCGATATATATTCAAATAGACGATAAATGTATAGTCATTGAATATTCTGCAATAATGAGTAGACCTAATCCTGAGATGTT